TCCATCACTAGGTGTTGCATTTATCACGGAATATCAATCGTTTATTATGCAAACTTAAGCTTACGCATCACTCGAACATGACAGCTCTTCCCATCTGACCTAAGGCAACAGGGTTTAGCTAACGACGAACTGTTGACAACACAATCACAAGTGAACAACAAAACATGCATTATGAATCAAATACAGTAACATGCTTCATTGTTACGGTACAAGTGAAACGATAAAGTCTTTCCAATCACGTCCCTGCCCTATACGATATTGTTTCATTTCATCACATCTATGAAGTCTAGACTATGATGTCATGGCAAAATACTATCATTTTTTAGCCTTCCGTACATTTGCTCATGATCAGACTTCTTTTCCATGCAGTGAACGGCTCTATGTTGCCCACAGAGAAGCAGTCGAAACGACTGAATCAGTTATTAAGACAAATGAAATGAAAAGATTGATAAATGACAACGAACTGTCGGAAAACAAAACGATTTGAGCAATTCACATGGAAGAATTAAGCGTTACATTTCACTGCATTCGCTGCGTTAATAAGCTAATAAGCAGCTGTATAATATGTGAGCAATAATTCTATGGATTGTATTCGTATACATAAGCGTATACTCTTTTCTGGTCATGTCTATATTCAAATGCATGAGCACGCAAGACCTACTCTCGATCGATACTACTGCACGGCTAGTTTAGATGCTTGTTGACTTTCATCGAGATTAGCCAACGACCACTTGTTATTCGTGACAATATCGTGAAGCACATCATAGCGTGCGTAATCCTGAACAGATAAAGCCGAAAACAGAGCATCACTAATGACAGATACTCCATAACTCTATACCTCATCCAAATAGGGTTTCAAGTATGCTTCAAGTGTTTTTTGTCGATCAATTTAATCCAAATAAGTTCCCAATTTTCTTGCTGACCAATTTTTCCCCACTTAGAAAAGCTTACTTATGTCCAAGTAAGATTTCCTAAAGCTCTTTAACAGATTGATTATTCAACAATACTGTTGTAGTGCTAACAATAACGAGTAACGATGTTGCGATGGTAATTAGTTGCTTTACACTGAAATGTGAACATTTGAAGAGAGGGTGAATTAGAACGAAAACGAATTTTGTGGCTTGGTATTTATCCAACAAAATTCAAGATAAACATTTGCCGAGGAGCTTGCAGAGGTGATATTAATAATGCTCTAAACTCATTGCTTCAGAAATGAAATGATTTTGTTTTGAACTCGAGTTTCATTATTTTTCAATTCCGTTCTTGTTCTTGTGTTCAAGTCGTTCATGAATCTGTGGCTTTTGTGACTATTGCCTTAGTGTGAATGAATGTAACCGATTGCAATATTATGCACTTAACTGATTGCAATATTATGCAATAGTAGAAGATATAAACTAGTGAATGAAATGTTTCTGAACTAGTGCATACTGGTCGATTGGATTGACTCGTTTCAGTTACTACTTGTGACTTCTTGTAAATTGTGTTACAGCATTCATCTAACGGACGGAAATCATGGTGTTCCATCACTGTCGCGTTGTTAAAATAAGTAAATTTCGTCAAACAACAAGCCAGATTTGAATAACTTTGTTATGAATTATCATAATAAAAACACACATTCAGTAGCTGAAATTATGCAGTCTCATCAAATTTTTGAATGTCGATAATTTATTTTAGATGCCGAAATATTATTGTGACTATTGTGATACGTTCTTGACACATGACTCACCGTCTGTGAGAAAAACTCATAATGGAGGACGTAAACATAAGGTTAGATTAATTCCCTGTGATTTATTGTATGACCCTGTCATCTCATCTTTATAACTTATTTTATTTTGTCATAACTGGCAGAGTTGTTCAGTGAAAGTGAGTATGACTTCAGGAGAATGTACGTATGTTCTATCAGAAATGGATGGAAGAACAAGCGCAGAAGTTGGTCGACGCAACCACAAAAGCATTCACTCAAGGACGTATGGCTGCGCCTCCTACAGGCCCGATTCCGGTTCCGCCGAGAATTCCTGTGGTTTGTATTGCCCCACTGCTTTGCTTACTTCATTTTGTATTCATCTTTATTGTTGTGACCGTTTCAACTTGCACCACTTTAACTATTCACTCTGTCTTGTTCAGACTATGCCAGGCCCGCGAGGACCACCGATACTGCCACCAGTAGGCGCTCCACCAGTGCGAGGACCGATGCCGTTCCCGTGTCCACCGATGGGTGGCCCGATGGGACCGCCGGGAATGATGTTGCGACCACCGTTCATGATTCCACCTGCACCTCGCATGGGAATGAGATGATCAGATTCAGTCGTGTTGCTGGATGAATTTGCTGTTTGAAGGTGATTTATAAACAATATGAATTGGCACCAAAGAGAGACTGACTTGAAACTTAGAATAGTTCAGTTGATGTATAATCTCGAACTAATTGAATCTGTTTGCACTTTGTTCCAGTTAAATGTTGAGTTTGATCTGTTGACCGTTCAATTTTTTGATCTCATAACTTATGACCAATAAATTCTGGAAGATTTTTCTGGCGAAAGAGTATTATCAAGACTTCATAATTGATTTGACAGTTTTGGTGTCAGTCTCATTTCAGATCAACCAACTTCCTTGACAGTATGAAAACGTTTTGAAAGGAGTTCGTAAAAATATAAATTATTGTCATTTTTATGCTCTGTTCTTTCGTAAATTTATGATATAGCCTTGTTTAGCTTAATTGGTATTGTTACGGTATTGAATTCAGCAAATACAAATTTGTTTATCTCATTTATTCATTGTTATGACATTGAATTTCGTTACAGTACGAAAGTTTCGTTGTCAACATGGTTTGATTTGATTGTTTCGTTTTTATTTATTCGTTTGTTTATTTATTCATTCATTTATGATGTGTACTTGTTATACATATTGTGCCGGCTTGTTCCTGAATAAACGTTTCAATTGAAAACTTTTCCTCCTATTGATGCATCAGGATTCGTTCGAAGATATCACAGATTTGACTGCCTGTTTTTGAACACACTGCAGGGAAGGTCACATTCCGATTTTCTGAACTCAGACTTGCTGAAGTTGAAATCCCATCGGTGGATAAAATCCTTAAAGACGTATAATTGCGAAGAAGAAATTACGCTCTAATTCATCGTATTATATGCACTTCGATTGGAACTTTATTTTCCAACTCGGATGATAATAGGTTAAAACTTCGACTCAAAACAATGCACTCAACAAAATGAAGAGAAAAAAACCAATACTATAATACAGTAATGTGAGCGCCATGACTTCAAATAAGAATGATGATGATGATGATATCAACATTGTAGAAACTTTAAAAAAAAGGT